TGCTGGAGAGGCTGTGGAGAAAAGGGAACCCTCCTACACTGCTGGTGGGAAGGCAGTTTGGTGCAGCCATTATGGAAAACAGTATGGAGATTCCTCAAAAAACTAAAAATAGACTTACCATATGATCCAGCAATCCCACTCCTAGGCATATATCCAGAGGGAACCTTAATTCAAAAAGACACCTGCACCCCAATGTTCACAGCAGCACTATTTACAATATCCTAAGACATGGAAACAACCTAAATGTCCATTGACAGATAACTGGATAAAGAAGTCATGGTATATTTATACAATAAAATACTATTCAGCCATAAAAATAATAAAACAATGCCATTTGCAGCAACATGGATGTCCCTGGAGAATGTCATTCTAAGTGAAGTAAGCCAGAAAGAGAAAGAAAAATACCATATGACATCACTTATATGCAGAAACTAAAACAAACAAACAAAAAAAGACAAATGAACTTATATATAAGACAGAAACAGATTCACAGACATAGAAAACAAACTTATGGTTACCACTGTGGAAGGGGGTGGGAAGGAGTAAATTGGAAGTCTGAGATTTGCAGATACTGACCGATAGATACATAAAATAAATAAACAAGTGTATACTGTATATAGCACAGGGAACTATATTCAATTTCTTGTAATGGCTTATGGTGAAAAAGAATATGAGAATGAATATATGTATATTCATGTATGACTGAAGCACTGTACTGTACACTAGAAATTGACACAACATTGTCAACTGACTACACAGCAATTTAGAAAAATTATCTGTTAAAAATTCAAGGAAAATACAAAAAGATATTTAACATTTCCTCAAAGTCTGCATAGCCACAGTGGAGAAAGGAGAGATCATTCACGGAGAGAAGGCTAAAGGTCCTCTTCCTTTCTAGAACATTCTTCAGAGAGAATGGATGACCATGCATGCAGTGGAGCTAGATTCATCAGAGGGCCTGAAGGGGTTGATTCACTGTGCTCATGAGGCTGAACAAGGAAAAGAGCAGAAAGAGCATCTAAGACTTGGAGACTCAGCCTTGAGGCCTCATCTCTAAGTCCCCCTTGAACTCTAACCCTGAGCATACTACACTAGGTACATGGTGACATTTCTTACTGACCTCACAAAGCAGGTGTCATGAAAGGTCAGGGTCCTGTCTATGGTTTGCCTAGAAACAGTGGAGCCCGAGATGCCCCAAGGCAGCTGAAATCTGCCAAATTCACTGTGAAGACTTTGACCCTGAATCCTGACCCTAATCCTCCTAACCTTCTAAGTACAAAGGGAAAGAGAAGGGCTGTGGAACATGTCATTTCTGTGGAAGCCAAAGCTACAGAGCTGTCTGCTCCATCCTCTATGTCTGGGCTCGCACTGACTGTCAGGCCTCCCTTGAGCTCACACGAGTGCCCAGTGCAGTAAAAAGTACCAGCTTTCCCTTTGATTTAGGGATCTCCAAGACGGCATATGTACGGCTGAAACGGCCCCGGGTCTCACGGCTCATACATTCCGTTACACATCACGCTATGCATTTTCTAAGTTTCAGGGGGCTGCAGTGAAGTGAAAGGAGCAAGTCAACACAGGAAGACTTACAGGTGTAACTCATTTTCAGTAAACCAAACATTTAAAAACCAGAGTAACATAAAAGATAAGTTTCACTACCCCTCTGAGTAATTGATTTCCCTTCTACATTTAAAATATAAATTGATTCACTGCAACTTGTTTTACACACAACATATTAAGTACATCAGGGTTGCACAGAGGGAACAGAAAAGACAGCATTTGGACACCATTGCAAAGGAAGCATAGTTTTCTCTGATTTTAAAAGTGTTCATTGACTACAGAAGTTTCAAAAGACCTCAAATCAATCACAAATCATAATTAATCTTTATGTAAAAGAGTTCACTAACTGGGGAATGTTTGTTTTGAAGTTTTTCTCTTAGCTCCTTCTTTGGGCTTCTCATATTCATTTATCTCAGCAAGGCTACCAAAAGGACTCATTTCAAAATCACAGTGGCAGGAGCTTTAAACATCCCTCCACATCCCAGGTAAACATTTAAACATTTGTGCACAGATAGATATACAAATTAGTGACCTAGGACACCCACAAAACAGTCATACAAATAAAGCTGTGCTCCACTCATCAATTTCCCATCAGTGCCACCTGAGGACACATTCATTCCAGAACGCTAGCCCCAGTGTTTGAAAATGCCAACATTTTCACTTTTACTCAGCTTCTGAAATCCTGTCCTATTGGTTTCAGGAAAGAATGAACTCTTTAACTGCCTTTAATTGCCTTTGCCAAGCATGGTTCTCTGTGGACACAAACACGCTAAAAACATGGACCTTATATGGCAAAAGAAATTTAGAAAAACCACTAGGTAATCAGGATCTCTATCTGTGGAGCTCCTTAAGAAGAGCATAGCTGCCTCTCATTCTTGAATGAGAACCTCTAGCAGCTTAGAGCTGAATTAGAATCCTTAGTATTTTATGATTCTCATGAAACGCTCTTCACATCCAAATAATATTGGAGAGTTGCAGGAGGAGCAGAAAGTCCCTTAAAAGTGACAAATTTTGCCTAGGTGTACTCAAAACTGGAAGGCATCAGGAGACTGCACAGCTGAAGAACAGCTTGCAAGGGTCACAAAGCCCAAACCAGGGGCTGGCCCCCTGGCCACGCCCTGGGTATCCCCTTCAGGCTTTGAGGATAAAGGGGAGAAGGTATATATGGAAAGAAGCAAGGAAGGGGTTGAAAGGAAAATGTCAGGGAGAGGAGGGGAGAGGGGATGAAAAAGAGAGTTAAATGAAGAAAAGGGGGGATGTATATATAAAGGAAAGGAGACTGGAAATGGGTGAAAAGGAGAAGAAAAGGAAAGGGGAATAGGAAAGGAAATGGAGAGATAGGATAAAGTCCCTCAGTGACAATGGACTCAGCGGGCGGTCAGTACAAATCCAGGGGGCACAGGAGGCCGACCGTCACCTTGAACCAGGCACTAGCCAGCCCTGAAGCTCCACAGTAATGCCATCCTCCTTTAAGGACACTTTCTCCCTTTTCCATAAAGGGCGAGCTCACCTATCCAAGGCCACAGCCGTCATGGAGTAAATGCTGGCAAAGACAGCAGCAATGGGGAAGAAGTTGTGGAATTTGCAGTAGAACAGGCCGTAGTACCACTCGTTGTGGACAGCATAGGTGAAGTTCACCACGGTGTTGAAGGCGGCCATGGAGGCCTCCGCGAAGGCCAGGTTCACTAGGAAATAGTTTGTAACTGTCCTCATTCTCTTGTGGGCCAAGATGATCCACATCACCACCACGTTGCCCACCACGGAAGTCACCACGATGACTGTGTAGGCAGCAGCCCAAAGGACAAT